TATGTAGATGTGCTTCTACGTTGCTTTAATTTTTGCGATGTTCTCGTTGCCTCGTTGCCCGTTTGTTATCCAACATACTGCTGTTTTTTTTTTTGCTTTTTTTCTTTTTTTTTGTAAGATATTTATCTACTCAATCAATAACAGATAAGTTTTGGTATAATTTTCTTTCTAACAAACAGCTCATTCACGCATAAAATAATTAAGTAAAAAAATTCAAATAAACAACAGAATAAAGAAAAGAAATTATATAATTTAAAACCGGCCACTCAATTACAGTTTCGTTAAAAATAAAACCACGCCAACAACTCAACAGGAAGTAGTTAAGGAGTAGCAAGCTTACTTACTTACTTAACATTGGCTGAGGAAATTGCAATGTATGCAAGCTAAGCCTGAATATAATATGCATATATATGTATATATATATTATATATATATATATATTATATAACGTATATAAACATGCTGCGACAGCATCTATAAAACTATTCTAGTCTAGAGTGTTTAAACCAGCTTAGAAAGGACAACAGAAGAAAGCATAATGTCAAATTGATTGCTTTTGCGGTTTTCTATATAAATGCATTTACATATATATATATATATATATATATATATATTATATATTCCAAGTAGATCTATCTTCTATGCAATACAGCACACAATCTATATATATACATGCCAGGACGTATTTAGAATTTCCTACAAAACTAAATTGCAGATTAATTGCTATTTTCACCTCAACTTTTTGAAATAATGGAAAATCTGATATGTGGTTTTATTGAAAAAAAAAAAACACAAAAAAATTGCAGTGCCATTACGCTCTTATTTATGGGCAAAAAGTATGAGGTTTGTTTAGAAAATAAGCTACAATTTTGAATTTCACTTTCAGAAGGTCATGGGCTCGGGATTTCGCCTGAAGAAAAAATTTAAAACAAATTTTTTTAATAAAAAAAGTCAGATTCTCTTTTTGGTTGCCCCTCGACAGGTAATGTCAACGTATCCGAGTGTACTTTTGACATGACAGGGTGATGCTCTTCATGAAAATCCTTAATTGGTATGATAATTTCTATCGCTTTTTGATGGTGCATATGTCAAGGTCTTTGTAGATGTTCTCGTTATATATCTACCCAGGTGCACGCCATATACAGTTCCCTACTCGTACTAATACCGAACCATCAGATGTTGTCATCGCCCTTACCTACTCACCACACAGTTTGGTCTTTATTCGTCGAGAGAGAACTGGACTTTTCAATTGCCTACACAGCCTAAAGTAGCAGCTGCTGTCAAGAGTGATTTTGCGTTGGATTTCACGGCTAAAACTGTTATTGGTGCTTATACTGGTTTCAAAATATACGGAGGTATCTACCACTTCAAAATTGTGACTGTGAACAGTCACGTGAGAGACGTAAAAATCATTGGTATACGCCAGCCGTTGTAAATTTCTATAACAGAATTCTTACTTTCTCCAGCAACAAATAAAAAAGTCACACCGTAAGGAACCAACTTGGCTGAAACTTTCTTTGTTATCGAACTTCTCGGAGATGTTCCGCCCGACCTTGTTGAATACTTTGGTGGTGCTTAACGTCAGTTTTCATAGCCGTATTCGTTTTGTGGAAATACCTAATTTGAAATCGTGTTGTCGAAGGCAGTATTAAAATCGAGAAAAAGCTGGAGTGCGTCGAACGCCTTTTCACGAATATTTCTAAGATTTGTCTCATGATGAATATATGGTCACTGCAGGATTTGTTAGGTCTAAAGCCACACTTACTAGGTTCACTCATATTGTTGACGGTGGGCTTTATTCTTCCCACGGTAATTGGCGCAGACTGTCACGTCACGCCTTCCTTTTTCTGGACTGAGCAGAGCACGTTTGGCTTCTAAGCGCCGGACGTGCATTCATCTAACCGTATGTTGCAAAGTATTGTAGCTGATGCATTCACCGTATCACTTCTGTAGCGCGGTAATGTAAACTCGGACTTATACTGTTTTGGCTATAATGTATGTACAAATAATATTATATATAAATAATTTTGAGCAATGCCACATCTGATGTCTTTCAAATTGAAAAACTAAAAAAAAGATTTGCTGCTTAGGCACTTCGTTGATTAAAAAAAATTTACTTTTTCAAAATTTCCTGCAAGAAATTGCACAGACTTCAAAAAAAAAAACTTAAAATTAAATGAAAAAATCACGTTATGAAAGAAACTTTTAACTAAAATCGAAAATCTTGCATAAATCGGTCCAAGGTAATCGCTGCTGAGGGGCTTGTGTGGGCGCAGTAAGGACGAACACTTTGGCGTACAGTGTACTTGCATACATTCATACAGTATTTATAATGGAAACAATGAGCTTAAACGCAATGAGCGCATAACAATAAGTTTACATATGATTAAAACGAGGATAAACAAAATGTATGCACATACAGAGAAGTTTGAAACTTCATTTCCATATTTTACATATTCACATTAGTGATGAGGACATTGCTGATACAAACACATGCATATGTACACGTGTATGTATGTAATATTGCTGCGTATTGTGCATATTGTGACACAAATGTGACAGCTGGTGAGTTCGTAATGCTGAAACATTATATTTATTTATATATATGTACATATATATTTAAGTGGAAGTTCTCAATGTTAATATATTTTACGATTATATGTATGTGTATGTATAAAGAATATTACAAATAAATCAAACGTTTGCATTTGCATATTGCACACATACATACATACATACATACAAAGTCGGCTGTAAATATTCAATGTACGAATGCAAAGTGATGCTGCAGTTCGTTGTGAAATGACGCACGAACAAAACGAACTGATAAATATCTTGGCATTGACAATATGCATACTCGTACATACATATGTGTGCATATGTATATGTAGTGTGCCGTTGTTTCGAAAGATTTGCAAGAAAATGAGTGAATTCAATAAAATTCCCTTAATGACTTTACTTCATACATACATAATGTTTGTAATATACATAAATAAATATTTATGTATGTTTGCCAGTGGGCCCAACAAACACAAAAAAAAAAATAATAATAACGAATCGGCATTTTTAATGAGCACATATTGTTGTTGTTATGCAGCAGTGACAGGACATTAACAGTTTTCCGTAAAACTCCTCCAAATCAAACTTTGCGTTTTTCTAATATTTTTCTAGTCTCAGACTTCTGTTTAATGTTTTCTTTTTTGAAAATTACAAATGATACCGAGGAAAAAAAAACACTTTAACATATCGGAAATTCAAAATATTTTGATTTTTTTATTTCTCTAAATTTATTTTAATGCTTATAATTTTATTCCCAATTTGATCTCCGTCACCTGTTGTTGCTGTTGTAGCGTCTATAATTAACAAAAAAATAATAATAAACCCACAGCAATTAAAACTGTGTTCTTCCACTTGGTGCAAGATTTTGGGGAAGGATCATACTCAGGCGCGTCGTACATTCGGTGATTAGATTTTCAAAGAAAATTGTTTTAGTGACAAAGCTCGCTTTCAGAAGAGTGGCTATAGCCATGAAATAATGTCACATTTGGAGTGATAACAATCAACAAGCCAACAACAAAAGAAAACAGTTTGGTGTGCTATATGCGCAAAGGGAAGACCGCCGTAATGTTACCTTCAATGGTGGAAGCAGAGAAAGAAGAGCCAAGACTCTTGAGTTGTTTTGTACTTGAAGGAAGTTTTTGATTCGTGCGAATTAGGAGCGTTGCGCTATTTTTGTGTGGGATTATATGAAGTCTCTTATATACCCAGATAAGTCAGAGACAATGGACGCCTACGAATACAGTATTTGGCGCGTTATTGCTGTCATACAGCCGCGAGTGCTGCAAAGAGTGTTGATTGCAACTCTCAGCTGAAATGTATTCAAACCAGCCGCGACAGTAAATTGCTCGAAATTATTTTCAAAACATAAACACTTGTCTTTGCGATAAAGCTAAATTTTTGGTCATTAAAGTAAATTGTAAATTCCATTTAATTTTTTTTGAAAACCAAATGTGAAAAAACTCCCTTTACATAAAAACGTCGCTACACTTCTCTTCTCTTTCTCATGCAGACTAAAAAACGAAGTTTATTCCGCACGGCGATGTTGCCAATTTTCTGCGCTCGAAATTTCCTCTCACAGCTGTCATATGGGAGAAGTTTCTGTAATTTTATTACTCAAAGCTTAAATAATATATTAAGAATTACAAAGAAGTTTGTTATTTGATTACAAAATAAAGTATCAAAAAATTTGGCTGAATTTGTCAACTGAATGTGGAGCTTCCATATTGCAGTTGTCGAGGGTGAAAGCTTTTTTTCATCAAAATATGAGAAAACATTTATGTCACTTGTTTTGTCCGAGCTGTTTTTGGAACTTTTATGCCGGCCGTCAGAGCCAAGTAGTTATCCGTGTGTACATACTGAAAAGGTCATATGCTCGTATACGGACCTGGAAAGTATACCGAATGTTACCAACCTCTGTGTGAAATCATAAATAAGGATGTGTTTTTTTACGAGAATGTGTGTTCCACATATATATGTACGTATGTACGTACATATATGCAAGTATTTAGTATAACAACTTGGAAAAATAAGCACAAAATTCTTATGAAAATCTCTTTCTCGGAACTTTTCTTAGAACTCTTTCATATAAGCGGTTTAGCCTTCCCGCACACAAACATTTACAGAGCTTTTATTCTCTCTTTTAAGTCTTCTGCCAAGATTAATGTTGTGAGTATTTGCACGACTCAACCGACAATGGAGAATTCACGAGTGTTGATAAATTGAATGCTGACACGCAAATCGCTTTTTCACTGCGGTAAGGGGGATTAATCTGAGGCGATTAGTGCTAGTAAAAGCATATCTGCTGCAGAGCGGACTGAAGAAGCGTAACCATTTAATTTTTGGGTGGTAAATTTAGCAATGGCACTGTGGTTTATGATTCTCTTTAGAGACTTCTTCTTTACAAGAGACGAAATTAATTAGCCCAGCAAACCATTAACAGAATGAAGAAGAAAAGCTTTCCTTTTCTGTTGCTCTCAAATTTATATGCCGAAGAAGTACATAAATAAATAAATAAGCAAAACGCATTTTATTAAGTGAAATTTCTTCTCTTTATCCTTTCAGATTATTCATGTGCAAATTGAAGTATGAAAATCATATTAATGCTTTAACGATCTCGTCTGTTATGCAGCGAAACGCTTGAGATTTGTCTGGTAGAGCAGCAGCATAAAGAACACATTGCGTAGTGGAACGTGAGCGTGAGTAACCGAGCACATAAAATTGGCACAACATCACTCCCCCAGACAAACGTTTCGATAAAAGCCATCACCATTTCGTCGATTGCGATTAAACGCAGGCCAACGCTGCCGCAAACGCCAGCGAGTGCCCCACAGGTGTTATCGCCCAAGCGACAGTGCGCCACCGCTGTATCGGTTATACCCGCCGTCGCCGCCGCCGCCACTCAATTGACACCACAGATCCAGTACGCCGCCACACCGGCTGCCGCAGTTGCACTCAGTAAAGCCGGACATCAATTGACCTTTAATCCCGCCGCTGCCGCTGCCGCTGCTGCCCAATACGCCGCCACTGCCGCCATCAGTACACATCCACAACATCATCAGCATCAGGCACACCAACAGCAACAGCAACAACAACAACTCCACCACCACCAGCACCACCACAACACACAGGTTGCTGCCGCTGCAGCTGCAGCTGCTGCCGTAGCCCAACAACAACAACGTATCGCCGTTGCCGCACAACATTATAATACATCAGCCGCTGCGCTCCTCAATCAGCATCTGCATACAGTCGCCGCGGCGACACACCAATTGTCACCGGCCGCTGCGGCTGCCGTTGCTGCTGCCGCCGCTCATCAGCAGCACGTTGTTTTACAGCAACATCAACAGCAACAACAACAGCATCATCAGGCACAGCAGGCGTTGAGTCAACAACATATCTATCAGCAGCAACAGCACACATTGCGTCAGCAATTGCAACAGCAAGCGCAACAACAAGCGCAGCAACAACAACATCATTTAATTGTCAACAGTTCATCCGCGGCCAACGTATCCATCACCGGCACTCTAAACAGCAGTAACACCCCGTTAACATCAACTACGTGCTCTACTGCTGGCACAACAACAACAGCAACTGGTACATCCATCAGTGCCGGCGCAGTAGCGCAATCAGCCGCAGCTACTGATAACTCTGTAGGAGCAAGTGCGGCCAACGAGAGCTCATCACATTCGAATACGTCCTCTGCATCGACCACACCGTCACCGGCGGCAGCGACAGCAGCTCAAAACACTCCAGATAACAACAACAACAACAATAACAGTGCGCTTAGCCACAGTCCGAATAGCAGTAGCAACAACACAGTCATTACCAGCAACTCAACAATGGAGAATCAAATGGCACTTGCACCATTGGGATTATCACAAAGCATGGACTCAGTGAATACGGCAAGCAATGAAGAAGAGGTAAGTGATCAGGCTTAAGTGGGACGGTGTGTGTATTTATTAGCTGATACCATCACACATACAAACCTACAATGTAAATATTTGCACATCTAACAAATGTCTTTTACAAAAGCTTACCAAGAGACCAATTTCGGATATCAATAGTTCTGCTAACTTAAGCTGCTAATCGAATTCCACTCGCTTCGAGTGCCTCCATAAGACCCAAAGGAATGCAAAAGATAATGGACCGTTCGTCTCTATTGGTTTTGCATACACTGAGTAGGCCAATATAGATACCATTGATGTTGTTTCAACTAAATATAACCTCAAAATGTGTTGGCTGAAGCCCAAAATACTTCAAAGTTAATCAATTATTTCCAATTTTCCACTGCATAAAATCGATTTGTCAGATGGAATTTTGTCACCAAACTACACACAAAAGCTATACTCGCTAGATCATTCAACACCTTTTAACTCCTCCGGGTGGATAATCTTGTGCATTCTTAGAATTTTCAGTCTCTGTGTTGAGCATTATGGAGGGCTCGTGTAGAAAGTATATTTTCCAGAAAGAAGAAATAAAAACCATACTGTAAGGGCGCGATAATTTTCAACGTTGATATATCTTCGACGGATGTGGTTCTTTCTTTCATTTCATACCAAAAGCTTTGTTGACAGTCATTGGCTCGACTTCTGATTGAAATAAAATGTTCTCAAAAAAGTTAATCAGTCTTTCGCAGGCGGTACTATCTGCTGCGGCAATCATTATTATTTTTTTTTTTACACCATTAAAAAAATGTAAATTAGATCAGTAAACTATATCGTGGAAGCCACGATACGAGCTCGCTTTTGTTTGTCTGTTCCTCGTTCACTACCAGACCCTTCCGATGCCCTTCTTTGTCTAGTCTAGAGAGAGCAGGACCAGCGATGCGGTTGTTTACTTGTTGGCGTCGAATATATCAATTACGGCATACGTCAGCGATTAAAACTCTTTTGGATGATTGTTTCTTGCCTCCTGAGCTTTGCAGTTGAGAGAGAGTGAGAGAGACAGAGAGAGAGTTTTTGCACCGATAATTAAATCATAGCCATTCTGTCGGCCAGCTTCTCGCGCTCTCTGTAACTCACTCATTCGATTTCTTTTTGTTTTTTGCGGACAATTGCGCTTTGCTTCTCTCTTAAGCCATAATTTTCATTTGTATGGCGTTTTCTCTCAGACCTGACTGCGGTTATAAGATTTCCAAATTGATCCATAATTAAAAATTATTTGCTATTTTGTTCATTTAGATTTCTCATGACAGATGTTCGCAGAATTATTTAAGCAATATTATGTAAATTTTAGCCAGAAAATTAACCACGTATTTGAGTTTATTAAAGTTTTAATTGTTCAACTGCTTTTAATATAGCTTACTGTGTGTTTTCGTGAACAGCATTATGTTACAGATTTTATTAAAAAAAAAAACATAAAAAAAAACATTTAAAACTTTTACGTGCAAAAAAATAAAACAAATCGTTTATTAAATTTTTGTGTACGTTTATAAAATGTATGGCGGCCGCGGCAGCCGAGTGGTTAGCATTGTGTCCTGACAATCGGAAAGCTCGGTTTCATATCCCGGTGCCACCTTTCCGAGTGTATTTCGAACATGAAATAAAGGCTCCTCGTATCGTATATATCAACCGTTCAAAGGCGGCTTAGTATAAACTGTTGGTCCCCCATTTGTTGGAAAAAACATCAAGACGCAAAACCACGAATCGGAGGAGGAGCTCGGCCGAAAAATCGCTTCAGTGATTACAAAGCGCCAATTAAATATTATATATATAACACTGTAATTACATTCTATTTGCATCATCTACACATATTAATCGCCTTAAAGTATGCTATAAATGGTTTTAAGTGCAAATTACAAAGAACTCCTACGACGAGCACTGTCTATACACATATTTGTATATGTAAAGGTAGAAACGGAAATGTGTAGATGACTTTGTGCGTTCATGCGTTAACAAAGTGACAGCACTACAAAAACGATAACAACAACAACAACAACAACAACAACAAGAAATACAGGTGGCACTTAACAGTTTTGAAGCGTGCTTAAAATTTTTATAGCACTCCCCCCTTACTATTTGATACGCTTACAAATTCTGCGAAAGGACAATTTTCGACAAACTGCAAAGTGTCACAGCGCTAAAGCGCGAATTTTAATAGCCGAACATGACAAAGGTGTGCGGTAAGAGGAGTGCGAAATTGTGTTTTGCGTAGTATTTTCTGCACGCTTTCTCCTTTTGGTCCTGATATTTGGTTTTTTTTGAAAACTTTTTCTCACAAACCCTTGCTTGTTTCAAGCGTAGCTACTGCAAAAGTTTAAAATATTTTCGAGGAGTTAAATTTTGACATTTTTGATGGCATAAACTATTACTTTTTATTAATTTCTAGGAGGACTTGAATCACTTTAAATGACTTTTTTGTTTAATTAGTAAACTTATTTATTAGGTCTAGTGAAAAGTAATCCAATATTTTTGCATTGAATTGAAGGCTTTTTTTTACCGTAGAATCATATGGCTTATGTCAAATTTGCACCGTTTTGTTCGATAACCATTTTCCATTTCTCAGATAATGCGGCACAATGGCATCTTATTGGAATCCTTATCTCTGTAGAGAAAACTTGGAATAATCGAATTTCATAGGATTCTCTTTGAGGCCAATTATTTCGTAGAGAAGAACAGATCGTAATTACTTAGTGCGAGGTCCGAACTTGAAGGAGGATGACTGTGTGGTGAAACACAACTGCCGTTCTGTTGCTTACTTGAGACCATCCCAATGCTCAAAGCAAAGTTCTGAATTTGATTCCTTGAAAACCCCACCAAATACACAACAAAATAGCTTCTGAATCATTGACCGTTTGTGTTCTGAATCATTGCCTTTGACCAAGACCTTCTATGTTTGACCTTATTGTTCGTAATCTACTTTTTATCACCGTTAACCATCTGTTTCGGAAATGGGTCAAATTGGTTACATTTCAGCTAGGATCCGCTGATGAGAATTCGGTCCCTGAGGTTTTTGCTCCATAATTCATGCGGCAACCATACATTGAGATTTTTTTGTATTCCGACTTTTCAAAGTAATGCCAAGCAATTTTTGTATAGTGTTTGGCTGTGGGCAGTCAGGGTAATGCTCGCATGAGTTAAGTGATCAACACTTCTTCTATTGTCTTTTGTAGTACAAAATATAATCTTTCAAATGCCAACTCCAGCCTACTGCAATCACTGTAATAGAACGCAAGATACAGATCTCTCAAGCCATCTACCACCAAAATAATGGATTAGTTTTTACTAGACTTTTTTGCTGCTTAAATTTGCATACTTTTCTTTTTTAAAGTGAAAAAATACTTTAAGCTGAAGTAATAAATTATAAATAAAGCTTCAAAGTATTTTTTTCTTTCTAATAAAAAGTTTTCTCTCTTTTTTCATAAATATTTCGAGCACTTTCCAGTCGTACGGCGCTCACACGCAGCGTTGTTTGTACGTGTATATGCACGAATCATTCAACTTGTCATGATTACAAGTAATCAAGTGCGTAAACTTTTGCCACACCGGTAATTTGATACCGAGAAGTAGCAAGCAAGTAGTCAGAAAACTTTTTAAACAGTAAAGGTAAATAATTCACTGAGTGAGAGGCGCGTTGTGGAGCTGCGCATATTTAGATTTAGGCAACGACTCTTACACGGAAACCAGTAAAAGGTACCAAAAAAGTCGAAAATATATTGTGCGGATAAAAAATATTGATTTCGATCATTTATGTAATAGACAATTGTGTGCCTTTATTAAAGAATGTCTGTTTTTTTTTGTTAAATATGAAAAGGTTTTGAAACATTTCAATTATTTGCCAATAATTTTTAATTTTTTGGGTTTAGCTGGAGCCGTTCTTAAACTGAGAAGCTGTAAAGCACAGCTATAAGTAGCGTAATAAAATATTTATTTAATTTTTTTTCACAAAAAAATTAAGCAAAATCAAGTAATTTTGCATGTAAAATTAATTAAATTACGTATACGCAGTGTTGCTCTAAAAAACACTTTTCTTTCTTTCTTATCAAATATTAATGTGAAGGCAAAATCTCATAATATAATTTGAAATGCAAAAACAGTAATATAATTGCAGGCTAAAAAAGTCAATGACTTATTTGTTGTGACTACAAGGTGACAAAAGTGTCAGGCATTTGTTGTTAAATAGAGACAATGGCACTTTTCGGTATTTATTCCATGCAGAGGGAAGTACAGTGCTTTTGGCTGCTTGCAATCGCACATACAATTACAAGTACATACATACATATATTATTTGATATGCCGACAATATATATACTAAATTGTTAAGCTTATTTTACAAAGGAAAGGAGTTTCAGTGCCTCATTCAGATTGATATTTGGTTCACTTATATAACGATTTCCGATTCTTTTTCCAAATAAATTTAGGCAAAAAGATTCCTATGTGCGAAATATTAAGCGGATTTAATATTAAACGAGAAATTTTTGGAACTTTAGTTTTACAAAAGTGGACACTCTTTCAAGAAAATTGAGTGAAATTGAGTGATGAGTGATTTCAGAGTCTGTAAATGTACGTGTATGCTGCCTACATCACCTTCTATTTATATATAAAGCATACTCTGTCTAAGCATGGAGAGTGGATGTTTATATAATTGCAGCTTTTGTAACTGCTGAAGCGATTTTTCGGCCCAGCTCTTCCTCCAATTTGTGGTTTTGCGTCTTGATGTTTCCCAAAAATGTTAAGAGCTACAGTTTATACTAAGCCGCTCACGTATGGCAGAAGGTTTTTTATGAGGAGTCTTTATTTCATGCCAGAAGTACACTCGGCGGGAAAGGCATTCCCTGCAAGTCGTAAATTTTACTTATTTTTTATTGAAATTAATTTTCTATAACTTTTTGATATTCGCGGCTTTCCGAATGTCAGTACGCAATGCCACTCGGCTACCGCAGCAAGGAAAAGATGATTTTAAATATTACCCTTGAACATAT